CATATAAGGGGACGACCATTTGATATTCTGGGGGGGGGGGGGGGGGGGGCAGGAGGATTTTGAAAATAAATAACTCAGCCTTGATAATCACAAAAATAAATGGTTTGTTCTGTGGTAGTTTGAAAATAAATTACCTGACTTGCAATGTATTGAAAATAAATAACTCAGCAGGTCTAATCGAAAGTATGAGATGGCACCAGATTCTTCATAAATTCATCTTTTTTCCAAAAAAAAAATCGGGAAACACTTCCCATATCTTTTAAATTAATAATAAAAGTATAAATATTATTTAAATATACTTGCTGTGACCTATAATGGTTTACTTTTATAAATTTTGACTTGGATGGAGAGTTGTCTCATTGGCATTCATACCACATCTTCTTATATCTATTGAAATGTCAGAAAATTGGTTTCATTTAACTTGAGGTTAATTGTCTCAGGAACACTTACCTCACTTTTATTAAATCAGGGCCGTAACTACATTGAGACAAATGCCTCATGTAGGAAATTTCAAAACCAAACGCTTGTCTCCATATCAAATTGTGTTCACCGTGAGTGCCTTGCAAGAAGCAAGTTCTGTTCTCCCTCAGACGTAGCCCCTGACTTTTCGGGATCAATGTTTCTTATTTATTTGTCTTTTGTTCATTGATTGCCCTTCTGTATTCTGTTAGTGTTGCATTCATTTTGTAATTTAGTAATTTTATTATTAACTTGATCATGAGTTTAAAAAAACACAGCAGCCACAGACTTAACTATGTGAATTACATTTTTGCTTTATCATGCATATTTGTCTTTTGATGTTGTTCCTAGAAACTTAAGTCTTACACTGAATCTATAACGTGATTTTGCTTTGAGACCAAAATATTGTCATAAAATTATTAAAACAGAACTTGCATTTTCAGTTTGAGAAAGGGTCTGGGGAACACCCAGAAGGCATGATTTTGCATCATTTGTTCTACAGCTTCTTGGGCCTTCAGCGGTTCAAAAACCCTTCAAAAAAAATTTTGCCTCGCTCTGCTCGGCAAAACATGTTTGCCAATACTTTTAAAAGAGCCTTAGTTGCAAACAAAGTTTAATACTGTGTATGTATGCAATACATGTATATGCATTGGGAAATATAGGAGATTCATTTCTGCAGAGGATAATAATTAATTCTGATTAAATGGTACATAATGACTTGACTATACATGAATTATTTATAATAAACAAATAATTTAAAAATTGTATGTTTTCGAATATATAAATATAGTTGTGAAAATAAATAATCAGTCCCTTGCTTTAATGAAAATGAAAAATCTTGCTTCAATAGTGCAGAAAATAGATAATCTGTCCTCTTAGTTTACAAAAATAAATAACCGATCCAAAACAAATCCTCCTGCCCCCCCCCCCCCCCCCCCCCCCCAGAATATCAAATGGTCGTCCCCTAACGTTATAAAGGAACATAACTCAAGAACTGTAGAAGTGACGCTACCCAAATTTGTACTTGATCTGAGTTTTGTGGTAATAAGCATTGTTTATAAGTTTCATAACATATATATAGTTGAGGCAAACTAAAGTTAGAGAACGGAAACGAAAAATTCAGCATTTTTTCCATTTGTAAAGGGGCATAACTCTAGAACGGTAAAAGTGATGCCACCAAAATTCAAACTTGATCTGTGTTTTGTGGTAATAAGCATTGTTTATACGTTTCATAACATATATATAGTTGAGGCAAACTAAAGTTAGAGAACGGAAACGAAAAATTCAGCAATTTTTCCATTTGTAAAGAGGCATAACTCTAGAACGGTAAAAGTGACGCCACCAAAATTCAAACTTGATCTGTGTTTTGTGGTAATAAGCATTGTGTATAAGTTTCATAACATTTGGTCCAGGCAAACTAAAGTAAGAGAACGGAAACGAAAAATTCAGCAATTTTCCCATTTGTAAAGGGGCATAACTCTAGAACGGTAAAAGTGACGCCACCAAAATTCAAACTTGATCTGTGTTTTGTGGTAATAAGCATTGTGTATAAGTTTCATAACATTTGGTCCAGGCAAACTAAAGTAAGAGAACGGAAACGAAAAATTCAGCAATTTTCCCATTTGTAAAGGGGCATAACTCTAGAACGGTAAAAGTGACGCCACCAAAATTCAAACTTGATCTGTGTTGTGTAGTAATAAGCATTGTGTATAAGTTTCAGTACATTTGGTTGAGGTAAACTAAAGTTAGAGAACGGAAACCAATTTGGGCCATACGGACGAATGTACAGACGGACAAGCGTAAAACTTAATGCCCCTCCGCTACGATGGGGGCATAAAAATGCTAAATGTTTGACAGAACTACTTCCCATTTTTTGACACAAGGTTTATGTGTTACAATGCTTTATGTTGACACTGGTAAAATGGTTTTTATTTGTGTAGTCTGATTATTCCAACATCCCTGTTTCCAAATCTATTGCTTTGTTTTAGTCAAAAACATCTGTGCTATAATTTTTTACAATTTCAAATACCTTGGTTTATAGCTGCTTGTCTTGTCAATAAATCTTATGATAGTAACATGTTTGTAAAATCTTGCCACAGCATTGTAGGTACTTATATAGGCTTGTTAAAATTGTATTTCATAATGTACATTAAACAAACACAAGTTGGATCTTTCAATTAACTTTATTTAATCAATAGTTTTAACAAATATGTTGCTAAAATAAGTTTTGTCAAACTTGTTATCTTATGTTAGCAACATTTAGATGTGCTACACATTAGAGTTATCTGTCCTGGGGTGAAATCTTATGAAATGTCAAGCTGCGATATTTTCCAGGAGTTTTAAAAATGACAAGATCTCCAATGTAAGTTAAAAACCCCAAATATATATTGTCTGTCAAATTCATCTGTTAGCAACACTATTTAGTTTGTCAAATCTTATGTTAGCAACAATAAAGTCAGTAAAATCTTAGTGTTAGCAACAAATTAAATGCTCCGCTGGGCGCAGCTTGATACGACCGCAGAGGTCAAATCCTGAACAGTTGGGGCAAGTATGGACACAACTTTCAAGCTTGATACAGCACTGAATTTGGATTGTGATTAAATATTTGACACAGCATAGGTTTCTGACACAGAATGAATGTGGTCTAAGAACTTAAAAATTTTTAATTTACATATTCAAACCATATCATTATTATTTGCTTTTATATATAAATCAGAAATAACCAATTTAAAATGGAAAATTTTAAAGAAAAAAAAGAAAAAAAAATCGCCCCTCAAATTTGTTTAACCCCCCTTATGATTCATCACCCCCAAACTCAATCCCAGCCTTCCCTTTGTGGTATGATACCTTGCAGTACAATTTCAGGGAGATCCGTACACTTGAACACAAGTTATTGTCTGGAAACTAGAAAAATGCTTGTTTTATGACCCCTTTTTGGCCCCAAATTCCTAAACGTTTAAGGCAATTACCCCTAAACTCAAACCCAGCTTTCCCTTTGTGATATGGAACCTTGTAGTACAATTTCATAAAGATCCATACACTCACACACAAGTTATTGTCCTGAAACTAGAAAAATGCTTGTTTTTTTACCCTTTTTGGCCCGTAATTCCTAAAATTTTGAGGCAGTTACCCCCAAAATCAATGCCAGCCTTGCCTTTGTGGTATGGTACCTTGCAGTACAATTTCAGAGAGATCCATATACTTGAACACAAGTTATTGTCTGGAAACTAGAAAAATGCTTATTTTTGGCCCCTTTTTGGCCCCTTATTCCTAAACGTTTTGGGCAATTACCCCCAATGTCAATTCCAGCTTTCCCTTTGTGATATGGAACCTTGATGTACAATTTCAGAAAGATCCATACACTTACACACAAGTTATTGTCAAGAAACTAGAAAAAATGCTTGTTTTTTGCCCCTTTTTTTGCCCCTAATTCCTAAAATTTGGAGGCAATTACCCCCAAAATCAATCTCAGCATTCCCTTTGTGATATGGAACCTTGTGGTACAATGTCAGAGAGATCCATACACTAACACACAAGTTATGTCTGGAAGTTACAAAAATGCTTATTTTTGGCCCCTAATTCCTTAACTGTTGGTACCATAACCCCCAAAACCAATCCCAACCTTCCTTTTGTAGTATTAAACCTTATGGTAAAATTTCATAGAGATCCATTCACTTAAACTAAAGTTAGAGTGCGAAAACCAATGTGTCTTCGGACGAGGACGACTACGCCAACGTCATACCAATATACGACCGCAAATTGCGGTCGTATAAAAAGTCTGTCAATTCTTATGTTAGCAACAATTAAGTCAGTCAAGTCATATGTTAGCAACAACAAAGTCTGTGAAATCTTATGTTAGCAACAATGTTCATTTCTGTCAAATCTTATGTTAGCAGCACTTTTCATTACCTGTGCGTATTGCTGTGTGTTTGTTTATTCTACATTGGCTAGAGGTATAGGGGGAGGGTTGAGATCTCACAAAACATGTTTAACCCCGCCACATTTTTGCGCCTGTCCCTAGTCAGGAGCCTCTTGCCTTTGTTAGTCTTGTGTGTTTTTTAATTATAGTTCATTTATATGTTTTGGAGTTTAGTGTGACGTCCATTTTCATTGAACTAGTAGACATTTTTGTTTAGGGGCCAGTTGAAGCTGGCCTCCGGGTGTGGGATTTTCTGGCTGTGTTGAAGACCCATTGGTGGCCTTCGGCTGTTTTCTGCTCTTTGGTCGGCTTGTTGTCTCTTTGACACATTCCCCATTTCCATTCTCAATTTTATGGGAATTTTTTAACTTTCTTATATGGAATCTGTCTTGCACTACACTACTCAACATTACAAAGTTCCAGACTAAAATATTTATTTGTTCTTCACCTCAGAGGCTGAATAATATGTGAGAAAGAACTACAGACTGAAAAACAGACGGACAAGGTCATTGCAGTATATGGCTAAGTCCTTGAGAGGGTATTATAAAATGGCCAAAGTAGATCAAGTAGATGACTGATAAATGAGACAATAATATTTTAAGGCATAAAAAGCAAAAATACAGGTAGTTTACAATTTATGATGTTGATTCCTTTCGAAATCACTATACATGATTATCACAGTTTTTTTTAACAAGACATAAAATGAATCACAGTCTTTGATCTTTCACATATTCAAGTGTCCTCAGTCTTTTTAATATCGTCAGAATATCCAAGTTTCTTCCAGTCTTCTTTTGCCATGAGATTGCTGAAAAAAACAGAATTTCTTCAAAAATATGGTAACCTTATCTTCTTGCTAATTAATTGAAACACTTGAACATCACAAATAAACGATTGAGCAAAACTCATACTGCATAGTCAGCTATAAAAGGCCAGGCCATTACAAAATATGATTGCAAATATCAACAAAAGATCAAGGATGAAAACAACAAAGTGTCAATGCATGGCCTTCAACAATGATCAATAAAATACTTGATGGGACACGACTTGATACAACCATAGAGGTACAGTTGGGACAAGTATGGACACTTTATTCATGCTATTCAAGCTTAAACCAGCTCTGAATTGGATTGTGATCAAATATTTGACACAGCATAGGTTTCTGACACAGATTGAATGTGGAAAAAGAAATGAAAAATTTGAAATTGGAATTTTACCTAGTATTATGATCCAATATCCAAAATCTAAAAACATGGTTAGATTCAGCAAAAATTTTATTTATTTATTTATTAATGGACAATATTAGCCAAGTTTTTAAAATGCTCCATAAAGAAATTATATTGTAATTGGTAAGGAACTTTTATTAACTCAATTATTTTTTTGGTGCTTGAATATTGCTACAAATGGGCTACAGATGGATGTGTATGGTAGTTGCGGTTTATTTTTGTCATCAGGTAATGATTGAAGTTTTTAAACATATTGTGACTGTGGGTGATGGGAAAGGGGAGGAAATTCATTTTTCTTGACATTGTTAAACTGTTAATAGCATTTAGAAATTAATATTGATAATTTAGCAATTTTAGGAATGAATGATGTAAAAATGGATGTAGTGGAAATGAAATCGAGAATAAAATTATATCTTAGTTAAAAGTATAATAGAATTATATTATAACGAACTAAAGATTTAAAAAAAAAAATTTGTGGTTAGTATTGTTATGAAAAGTGATATCAAAAGTTGACTTTCATGTTGTGTATTTTAGAGTGGATTATTATTAAATTGTTGTTTGAGTCAACTTTGAGTTATTTACCTTTGAACAGAAATGTCAATATGGAGGAAAAAGTATATTAGGGAAATGTTTAAGTTATCAATAAAGTTGATTGATATATATTTGAATGAGAATACTGATAATTTGATACTTTTGGTAATGCATCTTTTTACCCATGCATTTCAAGAGTAGTGCAGACAACTGATGTGATGTTAAACAGTTATGGAGGAAAATCCAAAATCTTAATACATTATTAGATTCATCATATTGAAATCAATCAAAGTTTAATTTTGAACCCTTATTTGGACCCACTTGAAAACCAAGCCCAAAATCAAAATTCTAAATACATGGTAAGAATAAGCATATAAACATGATAAAGGACTCCAATATTTCAAGATTATTTAAACCACATTGAAATTGGTCAGAAATAAGTAATTCAAACAAAGTTTTAAAAATTCCTTGTTTTTTTACCCCTTTTTGGCCCCTTATTCTTGAGGGGATTCTGTTACCTAGTCATACTAGTGACAAATTTGACATGAAGAACAAAAAATTGTACTGTAAAATTTATTAAATTTCTAAAGATATCCGGTTGATAAAGCACATCTGCACTTAAAAGGTGTATATTTCTCTGACTTCAATAATTTGATAGCTTTGAATTTAGTATATTATTTTTTAGCACCACAGATAAAAATTATGTTTTTAAAGGTGAATTTGGTTCGTCAACTTATCTTTTTTTTGGCCAGATGAAATTCATATTGACACCTTCTCTCTCTCACCTATCTTATAACTGCATGTTGTCTTAATGCAACTCTGTAAGAACAGGATATTTTTCAAATTGTACATAGCACTTGTCTAAGAAAATGCATCTACGACTTTAGTTCTGGTGGATAGTTGTCTCACTGGCAATCATACCACATCCACTTATTCATTTGTTCACAGCATTCCAATGGATTTGTACTCCGTTGTACTTACTTGTCCATCCGACACTTAAGGTAGTCTTTTGATTCTGCCCTGCAAGAATTGTTGTCATGATCACTCTTCCGAAGACAGATAATATATCTTAACATTTCTTTTTTACATTCACCTGAAATGGAAATATGCAGTATTACATACATCATGTACATGGTCAAACCTTAGTGCAAACCTATTTTATTAAAGAAATCGTTATTTATATATAGCTACAAGGGTAAAGACATAAATACGAAATATACAAATGATTCAATAATTGGGATTAGGAAACAAGAGCAGAAATGACAATGACTAAGTCAAGAAAAGATTGAAAAGGGTTTCAGTAAACATGGTATTTATATATATATAAGCAAAAATTACTTAATTTAAAAAAAAATTTAAAATACACATTTTTGTTATTAAATGGTAAGTGAAAATAATAGCTAACAAGAGTGCAAACGCTGAAATGTCTCGCCTACTATACTGACTGATGATTTTATGTTGATAGTCCTACATATAAAGTTTTACTACAAGTATCACATTAACATTTATGATCCAAGAAAATGATTTAAATGGTCTTTGTTAAGTTTTCCTGGTTAACTTTGTTTCTTAGATACTACAAATGTATAAGCAATAGGTCAACTATATTTGATGCATGGAATGATTTTAAGGTGTACATGTCTGTCTGGCAGGGTTCATCTGACCTTGACTTCATTTTCATGGTTCATTGGTCAATATAGAATTTCCTTAGTTTGGTCTGTTTCTTTTATACTATAAGCAATAGGTTATCTATATTCTGTGTATGGAATGATTGTATTAAAGGTGTACATGTATTTCCACCTTGGTTTATCTGACCTTTACCTCAGCAGCGATCCGGCAGCAGCGGCGGCTGCATTATCTAACTTCTTAAAAAGCTTAATAATTCGGAAAGTAAAAGACCTGGATGCTTCATACTTTGTATATAGATGCCTCATGATATGAAGTTTCCGTCTGTTTTATGTCCATTTTCCTTGAACTCATTTTCATGGGTCAGTGACTACTTGAAAAAAATGTTTAGATTTTTTGTAATGTTAATTTCACTCTTATTATGAGTAATAGGATAACTATATTTGGTATGTGCGTACCTTGCAAGGTCCTCATGTCATTAATTCAACAGAGAAACTAATTGCTCAAGGCCTTCAAAAATTGCCCCTTGGAGGCTTGTAAATGACCAGTATTTTGCAGATAACAGACAAATGAGATTTTCATTGTCCATGAAATTACAATTCAATAATTAGTAAAGACATCTGCAGAGAACAGACAATAAAAAATTCTATTAAAGCAAAAAAAACCTGAGAAATTCAAGAAAAGAAAATAGTACGACTTTTTTACTTGTATAAGTAAAAAAATCTGAATGTCTAAGGGACATAACTAACATGACTAAGCCATTAAAATAATTTACCTATACAAGAAAATAAAATACATTTGTATAAGTATCTTACAATTTTACTTATATAAGTATATTAATATTTACTTCTTCAAGTAAATAAAAATAACTTGTACAAGTAGTACACCTGACCAGCGAACTGTAGTTAATATATATCAAGTCAATATCTTCAATCATGACAAAAAAAAAGTGTGGAAAACTGATTATTTGCATGAATTTTGTAAGTCAGAGGATTATAACCATGATAACTCTGCAAAACAAGAATGTGTCCATAGTACACGGATGCCCCACTCACACTATCATTTTCAATGTTCAGTGGACCGTGAAATTGGGGTCAAAACTCTAATCTGGCATTAAAATTAGAAAGATCATATCATAGGGAACATGTGTACTAAGTTTCAAGTTGATTGGACTTCAACTACCTTGACCAAAAACTTTTAACCTGAAGCGTGACAGACGGACGGATGAACGGACGTTCAGACCGAAAAACATAATGCCCCTAGGTGGGGCACAAAAATCATCCGAACCAAACAAAATTCGAACTTGATCTGTAACTTGTCATGGTTAACTGATTAATATGGTTAAACTATATAACAAATATTAAATCAATATCTTCAAGCTTGATGAAAAAAAGTGTGGAAAACTGAAAATTTATGTGAATTTTGTAAGTCACAGGACCAAAACTCTGCAATAAAATCATCCGATCCAAACAAAATTTGAACTTGATCTATAACTAGTCCTGGTAAAACTACTGTATATACCAAATATCAATCAATATCTTCAAGAGTGTCGAAAAAACTGCAGAAAACTCATTACTTGTGTGAATTTACTAAGTCCAAGGACCATAACTCTAACATTAATCATTAGACCGGAAATGCAAAATTCTGTAACTGGTTATGAGAAAACTATTACCAAATATCAAATCAATATCTTACAGAACGAAGAAAACAAGAATTCTAAGAGTATTGCATGGCATGGCAATACATAGTCCCCTACCGGTTAACTAAATTGGTCATTTGTAATATTTTCTATTATTCCAAAAAGGAAGTCCAAATATCTCCTGGTGCAAATATTGAACACTCAATCTGTTAATACTAAAATATATTAAGTTTTTCTTGTGAATAAAAGAACGGACGGATGGCCAGACAGAGTGCAAACCTAAAGTCTCCTTTGATTTGCGGGTAGGGGACTTATCATACAGTATGTGATTCTTTTGCAAAAATCTGGGATCAATATGCTAGAGTCAAATCTATATCCAGCCTCAAATCTGTGTTTTTTCTGCAGATCTGTGTCTTGTAACCTCATGACACTCAATATTTGGCCCTTTGTGCAGCCTCTAATCTGTGTCCTTTACTCAGATCTGTGTCCTGTGACGTCACAACATTAAAATCTGTAACCCTTTGTTTATTCCAATCCATGTCTCATTTATAAAAAAGAATCTTCAGTAATTTGATGTGACTTGGGACATATAGAATGTGGTTGGGTTAAAGTACTTAACCCTCCCTAATTCTTGGATGGTTATGTATATGTAACAATAAAAACATTATAGCAAACTGTAAAACTCAGTCTTAAAAGGATTGACTAATATCAGATTATAGCACAAAGCACATTCTATTATATCTGCATTCATGATGTCATTTAGGCTAAAGGACAATATGTTTGTTAAGTGCCATTGTCATCTAATCTACCTATTTAAAAGGGAGTAGAGATAGAAGAGAGACAGAACATCTTCCAAATGCCAAAAATCAAAGTGCTTGTTAGCACTGAAGGGTAAAGATTGCTTTAATTTATGTGGGAAATAAAATTAAACATTGCATTGTGTAAAGCATTAGTTGAATTATGGACAAAGGAAAATTACTCCAATTTTAAAGATTACTTAAACAATGATCATGATGATATCATTGATATTTTTAGAACAGATATTAGATTCCTGCACTTTGCACAAGTTATGTAATTTTTTTGACAAATATAACATCACATTGTAACTTGAATATCTGAGCATATATTTCATTGATAAATTTCTGGAAATGTTCATGGATAGGATGTTTAGAATGTTATGATCAATGCACTATATTTTGTGTATGTCAACAGTAGTGATAAACCTTTGAAGATTTAGATATCAAGTCGGTACCAAAAGGTTTTGATTGCATTTTATGCAATCTTTACCCAAAAACAAATATGGACCTCTTCGGGCTCACAAAGCCCACCCTCCATGCCCTAGTTCAAATACCATCATGACCATGCCTACCGATTCTACAAAATAAATTTTCAATTAGGACCTGTGTTGGATTATAAGGGTGTTGGACTAATAGAGTGTCCATGGTGTGAGAATTGCGGGGCAACCCATTTGTAAACAGGTAAAGGACATAGATTTGAAAGAAAAAAAAACACAAGGATTTGCAACCCCTATACCTGGGACTATTATACTAACGGGACTGGAAACCGTTACACCAATCAGTGTAATAATACTCAACATCACGGTCGATAGAACGAGACTTAAACTGCGCGAGATTTAATGATACGCCATATTGTTTTGACAGTGACAGCGTGCCTTGATCGTATAATCTTTGTAATTTGTTTTTATCTTTTATAGTTATTCGAAATGATAATCCTTAATGTAAACACGATTACTATAATGATAAAAGATATCTCGATCTTTGACAGTTGTTATTAATCACCAAATACCGGCTTAAATGTAAATAAAATGCTCCGCTGGGCGCAGCTTGATACGACAGCAGAGGTCGAACCCTGAACAGTTGGGGCAAGTATGGACACAACATTCAAGCTTGATACAGCACTGAATTTGGATTGTGATTAAATATTTGACACAGCATAGGTTTCTGACACAGAATGAATGTGGTCTAAGAACTTAAAAAATTTTAATTTACCTATTCAAACCATATCATTATTATTTGCTTTTATATATAAATCAGAAATAACCTATTTAAGGTAGCACTACAGTCTAACAATGATTTTTTGAAGATGTTTTTTTTTATCACATAATTTTGAATTAAGTATTATTCTGCACAGTTTGTAAAAATCCCAAAGTCATTATCATATCACAACAGGGAGTAAATTGCTAATGAACGTATGTAAATAAAAGCACATGTAATTAATCTAAATATATAGGCATTTGGGAGGGGCTTATATGTCAATCATCTGTTGATACCAGTGTCCAGCTGTTAATCCCTGACCACAAGATAAATATCTCATTGCATTGCAACAAAACTAATTTATAAAACATTGAAGTTTAGAACAGAGAAAAAGAAAGATATGAATAGGAAAAAATGTAAAGGGAAAAAATCTACCAAAATGAAAAAAAAACTATGGAAAAGAGTGTGAAAGTATCTTTGAAAGCCTCTGACTGCCTGTATTAATTTCTCGTCTTTGGTCTTCTACATTTAAAAATAATTTTAGGCATTTTAACTAATTTTAAGTTTATGTGAAATTTTTTAATTCCATGAAACTCATAAATCATGTTGGACAGTCTATTTTCAAGAAGGGGATGGTCTTGATCTTTTTATGGACATGTATTTTAATTTTAATATTTTAGCTAATTTCAGCCATCATGGTCATATTATATTTCTTTTTAAAATTCAAATGAAAATTATTCTTTATAGTGAGAATAATGATGTTAAATATCAATTATGATGCAGCTGGCCAATCCTGTTATTCTCTTATCTTAGACTGTCTGGACAGAGGCAGAGCTT